TAAGACAAATATCGCTGATTTTCCTACCCTGTTTAAGACAGAATTCCGATTTTTGATACCCTGTTTAAGACATTTATCCTGTTTAAGACAAAATTTAATAAAAAGATACCCTGATTAAGATAAAAAATAATAAATTCGATACCCTGTTTCAGACAAAAATCCCGAAAAACATACCCTGGCTGGCCACACGTCCCCATTAAGCCCTTATAAGGGAGTACCCCCCCCCGGGCCCAAATTAGAGTTTGCTTCGTCACATGAAAAGTTCGACGTTTGCCCTAGGCTTCAGTTTTACATTTAAAAGACGTCCTATGGATAGATTTTCTAAGGGAACAGTCGTGGGAGATAGTCCTTACCGGGGTTAGGTGTTTTGACAAGGGCCCGCCTTTTGTAATTTTATTTTGCCTGGTTTGTCGTTCCAAACAGAAGTAGAGAATCAGTCAGATGACGGTTGGACAGCGGGAGAACCCTCCTTAGCATCTTCGGCTCTGCCTTCTGTTTTGCAACTGATAGTCTTGCTTAGCTTTTTATCACTTGTGAGTGAAGGTAGACTCGCAGTCCAATTAAGGGGAATAAAAATAATAATAAAAATAATAATAATAGTAATAATAATAATAATGGTCGATTGGAAGGCTCATTGTTTATGTGGGATGCTTAGTGGCGTCAAGGGGAAGAAATTACAACGATATGTTCTAGAGTTTATTTCAGGTTTTCACATGGCGTCAACAAAATTCAAACTAGCAGATTATCGATTCTTCTGAGTTTCTACTTTCATGAGGTATTACAGCAGCTAAACATATTTATTTATAAAAAGGTTCGGTTTGAAAGGGTTCTTGATTTTCTGATAGAGGACGCTTGAATTTCTTAGCTTTTGCATTCAGCTGACGGCCGAGAAAGCTCTTAATATATGGGCTAAAAACGTTACCAATTTTTTGAGATTTTACTATCTAAACATTCCTTGTCTCGGAATGAATATTACTTTTTTCTTTATGAATTCCTTAAGTGATGTATTCACTATTTTGTAGGAAAACTCAAAGACAGATGCTTTTTTTGGTTTCCGGCCGTCATATTTTTTCCCTTCAAAGGGACACCAAGATGGCGTCTCCCTACAAGGCTTTGTAAATTTGCGCAAAAATTTTCCCGAACTCTTCGCATATGTAATATCGTACAGACCTCATTTCTGACGAGGCTTTTTTTTTGCATATTTAGCTTCTTTTGTTTCCCAGATTGTGGACTTTCTGTATTGAA